GCATGCTCCTTCCTTGTCCACATAGTGACATTAATGCGATTCGCTATCTCATGTGCTCTTTCTCTAAGCTAGACTTAGTTTAGCAATGATAGGGACCTGTGTACAGCTTTAATGTTTCAGGACCAGGGCAGGCCACCCCAATCCCACAGAGGAAACTGACCACATTGAATGAAAGTTACTTAATAAGCGGCCAGGGCCAGAGGGGCATCATGAACCCCTGCCCCTGGGATGCAGGAACCAGTCCTCTGTGAGGGTGCCCTGTGCAGGGCCGAGACACTGGTGCTGCTGAAGGACAGAAGGCCATGGCAGCTGACCCGCCTCCACACCCTGTTCGGATGTGCGGGCTGAGCCCTCCTTCTGTTTCCATTCCTGCCAGTGAGCAGCCGGCCTGACCTTCTTCGACCTGTAAAATCTTCACAAATGTATTTTCTCTTTGCTTAAAATTTAGAGCTGCTTTGATCATTTGTCTGCCATCATTTATGATCTACTGTGTGCTTGTAGTAAATTGCTTTTTCTTCTGTTAACCTGGTCTTATGTCAGTTTTATCATTGGTCCAGCCATAGGGACTCAGGACGGGTAGAGGGGGAGATCCCCTTTCGCACAGAGCAAGGTTTGTTTTTATAGATATGGTATTTTCTAACATTAACAAAATGTAGAATCCAAATTCAATGATATATTAAGAGGCTATATCAGTATCTTACCTCTTTAAATTTAAATTTTATTAAATAACTAAAATGCATTTTTGTAAGGAGCTTTACATTATAGAAAATATGCTTTAAAAATATTTTTTCTGGTCAGAAAACCAAGATGGCGGCATAGGTAATCACCTACACTTGCTGCCTCTCACAACCACATCAAAATTACAACTAAGAGGCAGAACAACTACCACCCAGAACCTCGGAAAATTCTGGCTCCTGGATGTGCTGTTCTTTAAACTGGGAGGGAGATACAAGCTCCTGCTTGCTCTGAACTCTAGTTCCAGGTGAAACTCTGGGGGACCCAGACACATACGGGGAGAAAGTGAACTGTCTGGCATGGGGACAGGAACACGAGGGCAGCTTCCTCTTAGAGGTGCTCCCAGCGACCATTGTTTCTGAAAGGATGCACAGGACGCAGAGAACCAGGGACTTCTCTGGTTCAGGGCAGCCATTGCCGTTTGCTCTGCCCTGGTGATTCCCAGAGACCCCGCCCCACCCAATTTACTTTCAACCCCAAAGAAACTATGCACATCGGCTTTTGCATATGCATGGCCTGTCCTTTCACCTAAAACAAACTGCAGTTATGTCAGAGAGCCCCAGAAATTCCAAAAGAAGGCCCAATACCTGGCAGCAGCAGGGGCCTTGCTTTAGAGCTGGGATTTGTCTGGGCACTTCCAAACCCATACAAAGAAGAGGAATCTGCAGATGTCTCTGTAGCTTCTGCTCAGCGGCCCCAGACAGTGGCTGACCTTGCACCTCCTTGGAGAGCCAAGAGCCAGTGTACCCAGTGGTCAGAGTGAGACCATAATGAATTATAACTCTGCACATCCATAAGATATATACTTAAGGGGCAGATTCAGTTAGCACCAAAGCCCCACTGAAGCAAGTCCTTCCCCATAATGGTGTTTCCAGCACAGCAGTTCTCCCATTGTAGACACAACTGGTCCTCACAGCCAATTGGTCTGAGGGTCAATTCTTTCCAGTGATACCAACAGCAATCAAGGGTTAACTACAACAAGACTGTGCAAACAGCCCACAAAGGGGTGCACTAAGAGCATCCACCTCAGGTGACTGGGGAGACTGAGCCACTGGGCCCTATAGGACACCAATCACACAAAACCACTCTATCAACTCAAGGAGATTTAGCAGCTACCCAGCATATAGAAACAAACACAGGGAAGCAGCCAAAATGTGGAGACAAAGAAACAAGTCATAAATGAAAGAAATGGATGGAAGCAAAATACTGGTTATAGAGTTCAAAACCATGGTTATAAGGTTACTCAAGAATCTTCTAGAAACCTCCAAGAAGTTTAGTGAGACCCTCAAGGATATGAAAAAGGACCAATCAGAAATTAAGCATACACTGACTGAAATAAAGAAAATATACAGAGATCCAACAACAGATGAGGGGATCCCAAGAATCAAGGCAAAGATTTGAAATACAAAGAAGCAAAAACCACCCAACCGAAAAAGCAAAAAGAAAAGAGATTCCAAAAATATGAAGATAGTGTAAGGAGCCTCTGGG